TCACAGTAACCCTGTAGAGGAAACACTAGCACGCCCACGTCGTGCTCAGGCCGGTTCCTTTTCTCTCATGGTATGTGGGTGCCGGCAACCCTTGTACATTACTGGTGAGGGTGTGAAACAGCCCAGTCACTGTGGAAAACTGGCCGTTCCACAAAAAATTAAACATAAAATTACTGTATGATCCAGCAATTCCACTTCTAGGTAGATACCCAAAAGAACTGGAAATGAAGACTCACATCCATGCACACTCAAGTTCATCATAGCAGCACTACTCACATAGCCAAAAGGTAGATACAACCCAAATACCCATCAACTCAAATAGATACAGTATATGCCCATACAATGGAACATTATCAAGCCACAAAAAGAAATGAAATAAAGATGTGTGTCAAAATATGGCTGAACCTTGAAAATATTATGTTCAGTGAAAGAAGCCAGACACAAAGCCAGCATATCGTATGACTCCGTTTATATGAGATGTGCAGAATAGGCAACGCCGTGGAGTAGAACACGGATTGGTGGTTACCAAGCGCCGTGGGTGGAGGGAATGCGAGTGACTGCTTAATAGGTTATGGGTCTCTCCTGGAGGTAAAAACGATGTTTGGGGATGGATAGAAGTGGCAGTTGGGTAACACTGTGGATGTTCCAGTTGCCACTGAATTGTTTACTTTAAAATGGTTAATTTGGGCTGGTGCCTGTGGCTCAAAAGGGTAGGGCACCAGCCCCATATGCCAAAGGTGGTGGGTTCAAACCCAGCCTCAGCCAATAAAATAAAATAAAATAAAATGGTTAATTTTAAGTTATATGATTTTCCCCTGAATAAAAAAATAAAAAAAGATGGCAATGTGCCCATCATTGAACCGATCACTGGGGTCAGGACAGTGCATCCAGTCACAGGCCAGGCCTACTTTTTTGATCCCTGAGCCCCACCCAGATCCCAGGACAGCTTAGGGAAGATAGCTAAAGTCCCAAAAGGAAATGTGGGTGCTACGAGTCAGGCAAGAGGCTGGAAGGGCAGAGATGGCCGAGGTCTGCTGTGCAGGGTCCAGTCCCGCAGCCTTTCCCAAGCCTGCTCCACCTCCGTGTCCTTTCTGGTCCTTCTAACTTCATCTTGCTCTTCCCCCACCCCCAGCTCCAGAGTGGAATTGGCAGGCTGATCCTGAAGGAAGAGATGAAGGCCCGGTCCAGCTCCTACGCAGACCCCTGGACTCCTCCGCGGAGCTCCACCAGCAGCCGGGAGGCCCTGCACACAGCTGGTTACGAGATGTCGCTCAATGGCTGTAAGTGCCGCTCTGGAGGCCTAGCGAGACATGGCCTGTCCTCGTGACTGGCTGGCGCGTGTTGCTCTGAGCCAGTCCCCTTGAGGCACAGTCCACACATCCTCTCTCTTCTTGCTCAGAGCAGCCCAATGTAGTGGGTTCCCTCATCACCCCCCACACAGTGTAGAAGGGGAACTAAGGCAGGAAGCCTTCAGTAACTTGCCCACGATCACTCACCATATAAGCCATGCCACTCATTAATCAGATCCCCCACCTGTTTCTATAAATACAGTTCTGTTGGAACACAGCCAGCCCCAAATTCAGTCCCTCAGGCTAACAAAGGAATCAGGAAAGGCTGGCCTTGGTGGTTAGACCCAGAGCCTCCCACTTTCCTCCATCTCTGGTGCCCCCTCTGGGCCTACAATAAGATTTGGCCACCTGAGAAGGCCATGCTCTGCCCTGAGCAGCCGCTTGGACCATCTGAAGCTCTGACTTCCAGTCATATTCAGTAAAAAGAAAAATGCTTCTGATAGTCTGTATGGCTCAAAGACACAGGGGACAGCCTCCTGAGATAGTGAGCCTACCGTCACTCAGAGGTATACAAGCAGAGGCTTTGTTGAAGCGCTTTGCCTTGAAAGTCTCTCATTGTAAGCTCCTCCCTGTTCCTGAACTAAAACACGTGCTCTCCCTGCCTCCCCCTTTACCCCTGTGGGATTCAGCCCTGCAGGAAATCTTATCTCAGACTAATATTTGATGGATAATAAAACATATCAATTATTATGCTCCCATGTATCAGGCATTTGTAGATACATTATCACTCCTGGTCCTCACAAAGACCCACAATGTAGAGGGATTATGATCTCACTTTATAGATGTTAGAACTGAGGTTAAGCCACTTGCTCAAAGTCAGAAAGCCACTAGGTGACTTAGCTAGGATCAGACCTGAGTTAGAGTGACCCCAAGGCCCTGAGCTTTTCCCTCTTGACTCTGATTGAGATTGAAGGTGGTGGTGGTGGTGTGGTGATGGTAAAGCCAGTTCTGTGGCATTTTATACATGCGTCAATCACTCTGCTGCACATCTTACTGTATGATGTCACATAATCTTCACAGTAACCCTGTAGAGGAAACACTAGCACGCCCTGTTTTACAGAGAGAAAGCCTAAATGTGACTAAGTCAACTTTCTGAAGGTAGATATTTACTAGTGGCAGAGCCAAGATGATCGGATGCTTCTGCTTCCCTGTCTGACAGCTGAGGGGCAGTTTCCAGCCCCTGGATCTGGGCTCTGCGCAGAGCACCAATACTGCTCAGAACTCGACTCCGTTCAAGGGCATCTGTGCAGTGCCTATCATAGAGCACCTGTTCTGCACTAGGTGCTTGGCTAGGGCAGGGCGGGAGTGAGATGAGGTGCAGGTGCAAGAATCAGAAACTAACCAATGGTAAAGAAAGTGCTGAAGGAGGGAAGGAGGCCCCTTCTTCCCACTGACCAGGGTGGCTGGGTGTGGAAGCCACATCTCTTTGTCCCTGTATACTATCTCCACCGTGTCTGCCTGTTCCCATGAGCACTGGTCTCGGCTTTTCTCTCTTGCAGCCCCTCGGTCGCACTACCTGGCTGACAGCGGTATGTTCTTCCTGCCCTGCCTTCACCCGTCAAGTCCAGGGAGGGCCCGAGCTGAGTTAGCTGCAGCCCCTGTGACTCTGATGATCACACAGCATAAATGTCCCTACACAGTCCAGATCTCCAGTAGCTCACCCCATTGTATTTCCCAGGCTGTGGGCTTCCATTTGGGGTTCTGGACTCAGGATTTCTGTCCTGCAGATCCCAGAGAGAAAGAAAGAGCACATGCCTCTTGTACCCACACCTCTTGTCCCCACCTGGACACCTTCCTGAGCTTGATTTCAGTTCCACGGCCTTTGTCCAGAACCACCCTCTGGCCAGAGCACAGAAGTCTATCACAGGAAGGTGGATGTGTGCAGGCGAGGGCCAGCAGAGTGTGTGAGTGGGTGCCTTGGGTGGGCCTAGAATTCTGCCAGGGTGAGATGCTTCTAAGACAGTCAAGTTGAAAATCTGGAGATCAACAGGAAGAGGGGTTGGCTTCTGGCGCCTACCACTTCCCAATGGGTTGGGAGTAATATTGGCCATTCGTAGCTATTTGATGACCTTGGGGAGAGGGACCCATGGCTTGAGGCTCCTGGCAATTCCTCTGGCTCCTTCTTTTCAGATCCCCTCATCTCCAAATCTGCCTCCCTGCCTGCCTACAGAAGAAATGGACTGCACAGGGTAAGAGGGGCTGTGCTGGGTGACACTGACCCCAGGATGCTGGGAAGTCTACCATGAGTTTCATTACTGGGTGAAAGCTGGGTAAAGACCTTGGCTAGGGGTGGGTTAGCTGAAATAACCCAATGGCAATGACTTGCTCCCCTTCCTTGAGACACCTGCCTGAAAAGAGGCCTCCATGGGAGGGGCCAGGGAATAGCTATTACTTACTGGGCAAGAACTGTGTGCCAGGGACTGAGCTAAGCATGTTACCTGCACTAACTCGTCTGGCCTTCACAACCTGGGAGATCGTTACTATTATTAGCCCTACTTTGCACATGAAGAAATGGAAGCACAGAGAGGTGTGGTGACTTGCCCAAACTCTCACAGTCAATAAGTAGTAGAGCCAGAATTGGAAGCCAGGCCAGCTGACCCCTCAGCTCACACCTGACTTCCCTGTTCTACTGCCTCTAACGTGGCTTATCTCTGAGCTCTCTGATGCCTCGGTCCTAAAACCTGCATGGAAGCAGTGAGGTAGTCTACAGGCTGAAAGGGAACGAAGACAAGCCTTGTCTCAGTAGGACAGCTGTGCAGCAGGAAAAGTGATGGGGCTAAGGGCAGGGCCATTGAGATCGATGTTGACTACTGAGCACCTACTAAGTGCTCAAGTGCTGGGGATCCTGCAGCGAATGAGGTCCCTGCTCCTGTGGTGATCACATTCTAGCTGGGAGACTGACATAAACAAGAAAATATGTGATAGGAAGCCAGGTAGTCGGACATGCTAGGATGGAAAACGGAGTGAGGGGGGAGAAAGAGAAGGAAGTCAGAGAGGGCTGAGTTTAAACGAAAGTGAAGACCTTACCACCTGAAGGCCTGCAAGAGCCATTCAGATGGAGGGAAGTGCACTGTCCAAGTTTCTAGAGGTGAGGTGCAATGGGCCTATGCCAGCATGGCCAGGATGGAGTGAGCAAGGTCATAGATCCAGACAGGAATGTCATTAGGGCCTTGGACCCTGGTTAAGGACTCTCAGGGTTCCCAGTAGCTGTGTTGCATGATCCAATTCAGACTAACAGTGGGATCCCTTTGGCTGTCATGTGGAATAGAGAATACAGAGGGAAGGAGTGGAAGCCATTGACTCTAAAATAGGAAGCTGTTATAGGGCAGAGCACCCAAAAGGGATCAGAACACCACTGGAAAGCCAGGGCCTGTGTTAGTAATCCCCACCTGCTGAGAAACTCACAGACCCTGTCCTCAACACACTCAGAGTCTAGAAGTTCATGCATTCAACAGAAACTATCAAAACAGATACCTTAATAAAAAAAAATTTAAAAAAAATTTTAAAAAACCAGATACCTTTTCTATATGCTGGGGGGTACTTAGAATACATCAGTGACCAAAGAAGACAGAGACCCCCACTTCTCTTAAGGCTTCTGTTCTTCTAGAGAGAAACAGAAAGTGAGTAATGAATAGGAAACATGTTAAATGATACAGAATATTAGAAGGTAGTGCTTTGGGAAAGGAAAATTAATGAGCAAGATAAAAAGGATTGAGAATTTGTAGAAGGGTCAACTTGTAATTTTTAATAGGGTTACAATGGCAGATCTCATAGGAAACAGTATTTGAGCAATGAAAGAAAGCATGAGGTGAAATTCACCAAATAAATAGATATATCTAAGTGTCTACTATGTGCCCAGACTCAGCACAAGACTACAGCAGTGAGGTAAGCTTCCCTAACTTAAGAAGGAGGGTGCTGAGAAGGTCCAGGTCCAAGCATCCCTGGCCATTTTTCAGAGATGGTGGGTGCTTCAGGGAGGCAGAGGCGAGCTTATCTCAGGGCAGCCCTGGCTCTGTCTCCCCTGCAGACACCCAGTGCAGACCTCTTCCACTACGACAGCATGAATGCAGTCAACTGGGGCATGCGAGGTGAGTGCCAGCCTCGCCGGGTATGCAGGGGGAGGGTTTCTCCTGGGACTTCCCTGGGACTCCAGATGTACATCTCAGAACTGCCACTTGACCTTTGGCTAACGATCACTGCAGATTCCGTTCCCACACTGGGCTCTCTGCCAAGCCTGATCTCTACCTCCTTTCCACTTCCCACTCTCTCCCTTTTCCCCTACTCATCCCTTATACTTTCAAGTCCCAACCTGGGGTGATCTCCAGGCCACCTACTCCTCCTGGGTTCTCAGAGACATTGCACACTCCCATCCTTTCTGAACTGCTGAGCTAGAATTTCCTGCCAGCCCCAGTGGAAGAAAACACTCAGAGCCAAATGCACACTGTTCCCAGGAAAACGTCCATGATCTTCATGTTCACTCCAGCCTTCAGCAGCTCCTACAAACAGGCTCAGGCAGGAGGGTCTCACATCAAAACCTTACAGGGTTCCCCCAGAAGATGGAAGCTATCACCCATATGCTTCATAATCTCAGATTCTACTTATTTCTATTCTAAATATCTCAAAAGCCATTTCCTCCCTAAAACCATCTCAAGATCAGCCCAACACCTCTCTGCAACAAGGGTGGGTCCTCTGCATGGTCAAGAGGAGGATGTGGTGGAGGCCAGGCTTCCAGAGAGACTGAAATAGCCCAAGTAGTGATGTGAAGCAAAGACTTACTAGTTCTGTTGTGTGTGTCTCTTTTCTCTCTGCAGAGTACAAGGTAAAGGAGATACTTAGACCCTGGGGGTCCCTGGGATTCTGGAAGTCACCACAGTGGGGACCAGCAGGAAGATGACAGCACTGGCTATACAAGGAAGGGAGCAGAGATAAATAACCCCAATGGTCCTTTCAAGACTAACTTTTTCTGTCCCTCCCTGGCCCATTCTCCCTGGATCCTGCCCTAGGTCTCTGGCCTACTGAAATCCAGCCATTTCCCTGGGCTCCAAAGACTGGTGGCTTGCCAATCACCAAATATGAGGCACTTACATTCAGGAGATTTTGTGCACATATTAATACCAAATGCTTCTGGGTTTATTCCTAGTAATGTTAGGGGACTCTCTGGGCCTTGACTTTTTGGAGAATGTACCTTAAAGCTGCTGGGCAACCCCAAGAAGAAGAACAGTCTCAGCCTTTCCTCCAGATTCGATCTCTGGCCCTTTCTGGTTAGAGGAGGGAGCCTGGTCAAAAATACTATGTAGCTGAAAGGAACAAGCCCACTCCCCATCGCCCAGGCTGGAAACGTCCCCTTCCTTTCTCCTTAGATCTACCCTTATGAACTGCTGCTAGTGACCACACGAGGAAGAAACCGACTGCCCAAGGATGTGGATCGGACCCGTTTGGAGGTAAGTCTGGTAAACTGAGCAGGATCCTTTGGGTTTGAAGAGATTCCAGAGGTTGCTTTGTCTAACCCAGCTCAGGAGGGGTGGGCAGAATGTGCAGCATTAAGGTCACATAGCTTGTTGAAAAAGCAGAGACTTAAACCAGTTTCTCCAGCTCAAAACTGTTCCACACTGTTCTATGCTGCCTCCTTTTCCATTCAGTTAGCATCTGCCCTGTGGTGCACGGCAACAGCACGTCCTCACCAGGAGCTGCTGCTTCTGCAGAGGCAGGAGGAGTGCTAGATCTGGTCCCTGCCCTCAAGGGGCCCCGCGGTCTGAGGGTTGTCCATAAAACTAGTGCTTGTGATGGAGAAGGAGAGGGGAGCAGCACTGTACGGAAGGTAAAAGCATAAATTAGTCTATATTCAATCTCAAATTCTGCCATCACTAGGTGAGCAGCTTTAGCCAAGGGCCAGCCTCGCCGAACCTCGGTTTTCTCCTCTGTAAAGTGGGGGTGATTAGAGTTCTTGCCTCAAGTTGCCAGCACACACAGGGCCCTTAGCACAGACTCTGGCCATGTACTGAGTGTGACGTCCCCAGTGACTGTTCCATTGCAGTTACTCAGGGAAGGCCATTAAGACCTGCAGTGGGTGACACAGGCTTACAGGAAGAGGCAGGACATGGATGGGCTTTGAAGGCAGGTGGGGTCTGGATGGGTGAGACAGAGAGAGGACCATTGTGAGTCCTGGTAACAGTGTGAGGAAAGGTGCAGAGGTGGGCCTGAGCATGGGACTAGGCATTTACCTGTCCAC